CACCACACCCATTCTCAATCACTGTCTCAGCACAGGGATCAAACTCCCAGCCCTAATCCGCTGAGCTATTTGGCCAGCCCTAGAAATGTTTTTCTTAAGAGAAATGTGAAAGAGGATAGTTTGTGAATTTATAAAAGGGTGAGGTAGGAGAAGCAGGCTTGGAATTCTGATCTTGGAGTGGATGTCTTTGAGCACCCACTTTGAAATGTTACTGCTTGGAGAATTCTGCTAAGAAGCCATTACATGTTGACAGAATGCTAGGCCTGCAGGATGAGCTGTTAGTGACCTTGTGCAAGCAAGGCCTAGAGACTGCTGCTCACCTCTATAGTTGCTCATAAACTAATAGCTTAGTTTGCTATATTCACTGTTGTAGATTCGTCTGTTAACCATTTTTAAAATGCTTTATAAATTTTAGCTTTTTATTGTATCAGTTTATCTGCAGATTAGAATTAAAAATAGCTTTTCATTATTACATTGAGATAAGCTTACAGAGTTATATTTGATACTGTACCCCAAGATTTCTTGGAAGATTGATACAATGAATGACCAAATGAACAATGGACCTTCAGCTTCTCTATAATTAAGCACAATTTCGGACAACTGTACTATGGACGCATGCTGGTCTATGGAAAGGAGAAATTAATGTCTAATTTGTTTTGTCTCCTTTTTTCAATTCTTTGGCCTTTTTCTCTTTTTAATTTCTTGTATATTTCATTCTTTTTATCTTTCTTCTTCCAATTTTACCTGCGTATAGATGGTAATATAGACAACTAGTTTGATGACAACACTATGCATTACAACCAATACTGTAAAATTCATATATTTTTTTTTTCCAGAACCGGGGATTGAACTTAGGCCCTTGTGCTTGCCAGGGAAGCATTTATTCCACTGAGCCATCTCCCTGGCCCCAAAATTCATATTATTTTGGTAAGTGAAATTCTGTATCACTTGTAATTTTTCTGTTTTAATACTATTTCACAATCTCTTTAAAAATTGAAAAATGAAAATAAAATAAAAGTAAACACATTTTCTATTCTGGTATTCAGTGTCCCTTGTATGAGAACACATATGGTAGATTCTTCTGAAATTTTAATAACAGAAAGAAATGCTCATTTTAAAGTATACCTTCCTTTTATAATGTTCTTTTATTCCTATATAACTCATCATGTTTCTCTTTTGACTTTGACTTCCAGAAAGCATAGAACTAACCATATTTATTGCCAAACTATAGCAACCAACAGCTGCCTAATTTTGCAGAAAAAACTCTGTCCCAAAACACATGACTGTTTATTCTCAACTAAAAGGTCCCATGATAGGCATGGCTGATGTTATGAGTTGTCACAAATCCAACTTGCAAATAGGCGAGGATAAAATAATAAACATACATGTATGTAATTTGGACAAGGCAGGCTTGGTCCTTGGCAATAAAAAATGCTTATACCTAGAGTTTGGTTTGGATCAAGTGGTTATTAGGCACATTGCCTAAATCTGGAGTGCTGCTCGGTGTGAATCCATCCTGGGCAAAGCTGTGGCCATTGGGTGACCCTGCAACGAGGCCCTTGCCTGAATTCGTCTACCCTATAGCTGGCCCCTCAGATTGTCTGCATAGCGTGCAGTGAGTATATCAGTTTGAAAGGGTGGTAAATGCAAGAGGTGCCAATAAATTAGCAATTTGCAGTTTCCCATAGATTATGATCTTTAAGGAAGTTCACAGAATATGATCTTATTGAAATAGAGCTGGCAATAGAAAAATAACTTTCACACACAGAAATATAGAATTTTAGATAATAGTGATTGTGAGAGAGTATGTGCATTTAAAATAACCTCAATGGTAAAATTAAAAAAATTAGGTGAATTAAGAGATTTCTTCATTTTTTTTCTGCAAGGTCCAAATGTATTCTGATTAATAATAGTGAGATGGTTTTAGAACAAGTTGAATGCTGAATAGGCCACAGAATATAGAGAATTGAGGATTTTTTTTTTTTTTTAATTTTGAGACAGTCTTGCTATGCAGTTTGGGCTGGCCTTATGCTCACTTCTGTAGCCTCCAGGGTGGTCTCAAACTCACAGTGATCCTCCTGTCTTAGCCTCCTGAGTGCTGGGATTACATGTGTGTGCACCACCATGGCTGGATGAGGATAAAAAATTTAAATGTCTGTGATGTGGAAGGTTTATGCACAATATTTCATTTAAGGGCTGTGATAATTTTTTTTTTCTGGAATGCATATACTCTTCAGCATCCTCCTTAACTGCATGGCAATACATTAAAACAACAGACTGTGTGTTGAAATAATTTATATGTAAGAGCCCAGTGGGGTTGGGATCTGGTCATATAGTCTTCATCATAGCATGATGAGAACAGACACGGCAACTTTTGCGTCTGTATGGACGCCCTTCAAGCTTGTGGGAGATGTGACTCTTGCCCTCCATGGGAAGTTGGATCGGCCAGTTAGAGCCATAGGTTCTCACCACCAAAATGACTTGCCCTGGTATTATTCATAGGAAAGCACAAACCAGCCCAAGAAGTAGACCAGGGAGGCCCCTGGGACCACAGCTATCTTCTCACTCAGGAAGATTGACCTGGTACTTCTCACATGCAATTTTAAATCCCACTCACTGCTAGCTAAGTGAAAAGGGGCACCCTACTCTGAGTCCTTTTTATTTTTTATTTTATTGGTACTGAGGATTGAACTCAGGATCTTGTGCTTGGCAGACAGGCACTTTGGCCACTGAAATCATTAATGAGATCATCTATGAAGGACAACCAGCCAGTATCTGGTTCATGATTCATCCCAAATATAGGTAAATTATTGTTATCATTATTTGTTATTTAGACTTAAAGGATAACCTCTTAGCATGCAATACCTAGGAAGACATATCTTGATACTGGTTAACATTTAGCAGAGATTCTCACCACTTGAATTCAGTTAGGATGCATTGGGCAGAAAGGGTGCCAGGACTGCAGCCTGGTAGATGCAGGGAATTGGACTTCAGGAGAGAAACAGTTCTGACATTGGCCAGGGCCCCAGGGATTCTTCTTCTGTGGAGAAACACTAATTGTTGGTACTCAAGGGCAAATCTTCACTGTTACACATGGTAATCTAATTATGAAATTCAGATCACAGGATCCACAGCCCTTGGTCCTCAGGACAGCACTGAGGACTTTGTGTGGACATTCTGTGTAAGAGACACTGAACTGCAGACCCCACAGGTTCACTTTGTGTTTTGACTGGTCAAAGTGCATTTGCATCAGTCCTCAACACTAACACATGTAATGCACACCCCTGGAGAGGCGTCCCATGCTGGACCACATGGCGGGACAGCCAGGGCCCTTCTCCACACAGTGTGTGTGTGTGTGTGTGTGTGTGTGTGTGTGTGTGTGTGTATGTGTATGTGTGTGCTTTCACACAGACTGGACACTTGTATGTCATCTATCACCACTATAAATCAGTCATTTCAACATCTGCTCCTGTCCAGCAAGAATAAAAGAACATTCTGGAGACATTTTGTACTACATGGATGAATTATTTCTCTATGGGATGTGCAGGGAAGGCCTGACTGATAGATACATTCACATTCACTATTCCAGAGAGACTTTATTTCAACTCCCACTGAGTCAGGGAGGAGCTCACACATCCAGAGAGGGGCACACAGATTCACACATCTAGTTCTCAGTGCAACAGGAAGTACTGACCTGTTAGGCCTGCAGCCTCAGCAGACAAGAAGGCACTCCAAGAAAGAAGGAAAAACAAGCCCGTTTCCAACATCGGGAACTCACACAGCTTGGTGAACTTGGTCAGGTAACAAAGATGTGTTAAGGGAACCAACGCTTTTACAGCTAGATTTCCTAGTTGACTAAATAAACTGATTTAAAAATAGTTTTGAGTTAAAGATAATTCCTGACTGGAAGGATGTCACTGTTCATGAACCCTGCTAGAAAGACCACCGTGAGTTCCCTGCATCACTGAGGGGCCATTTGGTTTCAGATTCATATCATCTACTTGGACAGGGGTCTTGGCCTCTGTGCCTCTGATTTCCACTGAAAAATGGGATTAACAGTAAAATCTATACCACTGGTTATATAAGCCAGTTGATATGTATTAAACATACACAGCGGGACGTACCATGCAATAAGCAACATTTAACTTTTTCTGTTAGTGATTTAAATTAATATTTTTTTGTAAAATACATTTACTAGAAATAGAATCTGTAAATATCTGGAGGCAGTTCTTCATCTGGAGTAAAAAACAGGCTGCCCTTAGGCCCCTCTTCATTAACCTTTCTTGTTAGTTTCAGAGAAGCCTTGTTAGTTCATTCAGAGTAACAGGGGCTGGCAAGATAGCTCAGTGGTCTAAAGCGCCTGTTCAGGCAAGCACAGGGGCCATTGTTCAATTCCTGGCACCACCTACTGTGCCAGCCCTGCCCCCAGGGCAGGCTGAGCCAGCCACAATAAATAAACAAACAAATAAACAAACAAACAAACTGTGGTGCAAAACCTCTTGAATTTGGACTTAGCTGTGCACATATGCTTGTAGGAGAGCTGTCGCAGATTCAGGGAAGCACAGGGAGTGTGGCTGGAATCAGATGCTGGACGTGTCACTGCAGGGGCCATGCTGCTCCTGGGGGGTGGCTTGGGTGGGGTCCATGCAATCTGTATGCAGGCAGCACTTTGAGATAGAAATAGGGCCAGGAGAAGAAGTTACATTCAGGGACAGGGGGCTTTCCTGGTCCCTCTTGATGGAAGTAGAATGCAGGAGGAAAATTTTTACTCTGTCTAGGTCAGACAGTATGCCCTCAGGCACGTAATGGTTCATTTTGACAAGGATGACACTTGGACAATAATCTGCAAATTGCAAATATGACAAAGGCATAGTAGCCCAAGTTGGACAAAGAAAGGGTTATGAGGAAATGATTCGGGGTGTGTCATTGGTGGCCAAAGAGTATATGTAATTTTGTCCAAATTGGGAATAAAATAACCTCAAAAATAAGGAAATGTGATCATATTGCATTTTTATTCTTCTAGAACAAAATTTATAGCAGATTCCACATTCAAAGATGCTGAGCAGCAGGTCAGGGGAGCAAGGACATGATTTCCAGCACTGAATACCTGGGTCTAATTCTTGTTTTGGCCAGTCACTGGCTGCGCAATTTCTGGTCAGTGTATTACCCTTTCCAGTGTTAATTGGCAAGAGGAGTGCTTGCTTCTTTAGCATGGAGAATTAAGGACATAAACTGTCATACAAAGTTTTAGGCAGCAGTGACACTAACGGGCAGAACCATCACTGGGAGCGTGGAATCTGAGAACTAATGCCACCTGGCACCTGAGTTCCGATTCACTCCATCTACCTGGACAGGGGTCTTGGCCTCTGCGCCTCTTATTTCCACTGAAAAATGGGATTAACAGTAAAATCTATACCACTGGTAATATAAACCAGTTGATATATATTAAATATACAGAGCACGATCTACCATGCAACAAGCAACATTTAACTTTTTCTGTTAGTGATTTAAATTAATATTTTTTTTGTAAAGTACATTTACTGGAAATAGAATCTGTAAATATCTGGAGGCAGTTCTTCATCTGGAGTAAAAATGGGCTGCCCTTAGGCCCCTCCTCATTACCCTTTCTTGTTAGTTCCGGAGAAGCCTTGTTAGTTCAGAAGAAGCCTGGAATCTTTCTTTGACATTCTTTAAAAGAGAAAGTCCAGGCCACTGCAAGTAACAAAGTGTCAGTGGGCTAGAGAGCATTCTCCTCCAGAAAACAGTTTGGTTCTCAGTCAACCCCCAAGCCCAGAGTTTGGTGCTACAATCTGAGGAGACTGCCTTATCATGGAAGAGACATGGAGGGAATGAAGGAAGAGGTGACAGCAGTATGCACTCATCTCCATCCCAGCTTGTTGGTAGAAGAGGTCTAGTGCTTCCAAGTGTCACATTCTTGGTCTTGCCACTGCGACTGAGTTCTCTCTCCCCACCCTCAACTGTTGTATCTATATCCTTTCTTCTAGGCCTGATCCAGTCTGGCAGACTTCTCTCTAGGAATCCTTTCTTTCCGTTAGAGCCTCTTCTATGTCAGCTCCTCCTCCTCACGCAGGAAGAGGAGTTCCATTCTCAACTTCTCTACCTGCTGAACTCTAGGGTGCAATCCCAGGCCTGAAACGTCTTAACCATGCACCCTTAGTCAAGTTGTTTAAACCTAAGTGTTCCAGTTTCTTTGGCTATAAAATTAGGATAATTACAGTATCTACCTTGTAGCAGTCTTGTAAAAACTGTTTAAGACAATCGATGCAAAATGACTAGAGCAATGGCTTGTACATATTAGATGATAGTATAATCACCGTGATCATTATGACTGATACGTGACCCAGAGTGAGCTACTTAACCTCCATAAGCCTCAGTTTTTACTCAAGTAAAGTGAGGATAATAATTACCTGTCTTACAGAGTTGATTCAAATGCAGAGATGCACATAAAAGCCCTTGGCACATACTAGATTTTTCACTAAATATTCCCATCATTATCACTGTACTTGTAATGTTCTAAATAACACATGAACTCCAGCACAAGTCTACCTAATGATTAGGAAGTCGTAGGCACTAGTGATTAGGAGCATGATCTGCTCTTGATTCTTACTGTCTGGGTTCACTTGCTGGCTGCGTGACCTTGGCAATAATACCCTTCCTAAGCTTCAGTGTCAAATGAGAGCAATGACGGGCAATATGATCTCTGTGAAGGTTAGGTGAGATAGCACAGGTAAAACAAGTAGCAGAGGAGGCTGGGCTATCATAAGTACTAGGTCAAGTCAATTTTGGGTGTCGGTAGCCAGCCCTACACTTTCTGTCTTACTTTATCTCTGCCAACAGAGGAGCCATTCTCTAAGGGTTCCAGAAAAAAGGAGTGAACTTCAACTCCTTTTCTTTCTAAGAAACAACTAGATATTGGTCTCCTTTCTGCTGCTTCTTCCACAGCTCTTCATTACCATTTCCCTCAGTTCTAATCCCCTTCTCTGACACCTTATGTGCCAGATCCCCAGGTATGTTTTAAACTCATGACTTTCAGGGTACCCTTCTTTTCAGCAGAACCCTTCTGCAACTAATTGTGGGCTAGAGAAAGAAGCTCAGACTCTTACAAAGAAAACACCCCCAGGGACTGCATGGGCTGAGACCATGCACTGTACCACCTCACCTTCCTCTTGTCACCAGTTGGAGCTGCTGGTTCTCTCAGGCACTTCTGCTGCATGCTAATCAGTCATTCCCACCTCTCCTCACTAAAGGATACAACTTTGCATGTGAATACCGCTTACCCAATTATTTTCAGGATATTAAAGGTGGTTGAAGGTTCATTGGCTCTTTCTGGACAGTGTGGCCTGATTTTTATATTTCTAATAACAATGACTTCTTTAGCTCTTGTTTCATTTTTAATTAATTAATTGTCAATATTGATACTGGAGATTGACTCCAAGGTCTTCACAGTGAGTTAGATTCCAGCCCGTTTTTGAAATTTTATTTTATGCATATTTTTGAGATGGTGTCTTAGGCTGGGCTTGAACTTACAATCTTCTTGTCTCAGACTTCCAGGCAAGTTGGGGACTACTGGAGCACAGCACTATACCTGGCTTGGTCTCTGGCTTTTTACAGTTCTAGTAAATTATGTGAACTTTGGCAATAATTTTCTCTCTAGCTCTTAATATAGAGCTTATATCTCCAAGTTTGTCACTCACTGAGGGTAGAGACCATGTTTTACTCATCTTCTGACTCCTTATAGAGTCACTAAAGCTGAGCCTTTTAGCAGCTACATAATGAGTCTCTGGCAATCCTTCTGGAAAAAGTCTCCAACTCTAGTTTTTTTTGTCATGGGCCTGGCAGACTCCTCCCTCCTTTTTCCTAATGTCTTCAGTCTTTGTTCTTTTGCTTTGCCTCTTCTCTGGCTTCTGCTAAGCCCTCACACTGGCACTTGTCCTGTGATTTCCTCCTCAATTCTGACTTACTTTTGCTCACCCAACTGTTTACCACCCTAGGTAAATAGTCCACTAGGCCAGCCTCTCTCTGATTAAAACCTATAGGAACTCAACTTATCCTCCTCACTTCTTAACAAAGAAGAGGAACTCCAGTGACAGAGTTACTCAACTACAGAAGTCATGTCATTCCTGTATCACTCTCAGGTTCCTCTCTGCAAAGTTGTAGATGTCTTTTAAGCCCACAATGACCCTTGGCTTACTACTCTGTGACTGACTGATTGGCATAGCTTAAAAATCAGATTGAGCATCTCCAGCGTATTATCCCCAGGCAATGTAATCTTGCTCTTGCCCTTGGGTCTTCAGTTCTTCCTCTTGACCCTGGTACTGAAAATCCTGATATTCTCTGCCCACTTCTTTTCCTAAGTGACAATTATTTGAGAGCTGTTCATATTCTAACAGCGGATACTACCAACAGGCATAAACCTGACCTTGGGCAAAAAAAAGAAATAAAAAAAAAAAAAATCTAATCCTCTCTGTTATTGGTACCAATCTCTGTATCCTAGAGTTACTCTGAACTAGGATGGTTTAGACAATGACAATGTGTATCAAATTTGAACCAGAAGACCTTGCCATTTACCACCCTGGTGGTTTCTTATCATCAGAGACATTCTGTGGACACAGGCTGCTTTCCATACACAAAGGATATGAGTGCTGTGACAACAGCATATGCAGACCCCATTGCAAAGGAGCCGGTGAAGATCCCCAGGAAATTCCCCACACACTGGAAGAAAGCTGCAGTGTCAAATGCATTTGGATTCTCCTTGGGACTGTACATGGATATGGAACTGAAACGAGAAGAGGAAGCAGGTTAGTCATGGCCCACCTTACATCGCAGTCAGTTTTCCCTACTACTTTGGGGAGAGGTACCTTTTCCTGTATGGTTGGGTGCCAGTTGGATGAGGTGAAAGGAAAAATAAAGAGGGGAAGAGGTAGAGAAAGCAGAAAGCTTTCCCTTTCCTTACAGGCTAATCCCACGGTGTCCATATGTTGCTGCCAGTCAGTAAACATTTTTATATTGGAAGGGTCATAAAGAATATTGTTTCTGAGCAAACTAGGCATTAAAACATGGTAGGTGTATAAGGAATCTGCTGAGAAGATAGATAACTGTGAATTATTTAGTGGCCATATGTCTTCAGTGCTGTTATATATTCACAAATGTTCCTGATAAAAAGTGCACTTTTATGGCCTGTGCACAAATGGGTGATACAAATCACAGCATGCACAAAACATTCTGCTGTGATCTTGTCATAAACCAAGAAGCATTCCTTCTCTCTAGCGTAGCCCTTCTGAAACAGAGCCTTGGTGGCACTCGGAATATCACAACATTAACCCCCGGGGAGAGACAAAACCCTTATTTTCCCACCAAAACAAATGGCAGCAGCTGCCCAAGGTCATCTTTTATACCCCTGTTCTGGTGGCTGCCAACAGTCTTGTCCTCATAGAGAAAAATCAGCCCACCAATAGACAGGCTGTTCACTTAAATATTTTCTAGAACGTTCTGTTTGCTTTTTTGTTGTTTGTTTGTTTTAAGAGCAGTGTCCCCAATCCCAGAGTGTTAATATGAAGGATAGCCATGTCTTATTTAAAGAAATATGAGCTCCATGTTACAGCACTCAAGTGAGCAGATACGCCAGCAACAGTTGCTTTAGGGAGACTCGTGCAGTAGCATTTTAGATTTTATTTTATTTCATTTTATTTTTTGCTGGTTTTATTTTAACAAGGGGCCTTTAAATCTAATCAGCAAAAATCAAAGATTCAGTAGTAGATTCAGGAAAGGACTTTGTAGTAGTATGGAATACAAAAAGCACACCAGACATGCTGAGATTAGATTGGATTTACGGCGATGTAACTGAATTTTTTATGCTTAGATGATTAGAGCATGTTAACTCTACGATCTGACTTCTTGCATCTAGAGGCCAGTTAAGGGAGACAAGAAGGAGGATTCCAATTCTCCTCTGGAAGACATGCGGCATAAAGAAAGTGGTTTTACATGATGTTAGCTTTTCCCTCGATGTCTTTAAAACCCCCGAAGTAAGCCAAACACTTCTGCTTTGATTGTGTAATTGGATAAGGAAGATAAATGTGGATCCTGAATGGAGGCCCAAAATGTATAGGAGAAAAGGACTGCCTTTGATGTGTTTTTGTTTCTGTAAAGTGTAGAGCAATTCTATACCTGGGTTCTTTGTATCTGCCCGTCTTGGGGAAAGGTGTAAAAACCCACAGCCATTAGGATATCTGGTACCCAACACTGTGAAGTTCGTTGGGTTCTCTCTGACCAATCTACCAGCATATTTCTTCCTTCTTTTATTTATTTACTTATTTGTTAATTTATTTATTTTTGTTATGCTTTTGGTACAGGGTCTACAGGGTGTTCAGGGTTTCACTATGTAGATGGGACTTGCAGTGATTCTCCTGTTTTCAGCCTCCCAAGTGCCGGGATTAGAAGTGCTCGCCACCACACCCAGTCTCAGTCACATCTCAGCACACCCCGGGGGAGGGGTTGGCACTGCATGCTGCTGTGCTCTGCCTAAACAGGCGCTTTAGTCGGCTGGACTATCTGGCTGGCCCTTTTTTCTTCCTTCTAATGAAAAACAGTGTGATACAAAAACACTGTTTCATTTTTTCCTTTCAAACAAAGATTTTTGCACAGTAATAGGGCTTTGTAAATAACTCTGAAATTCCTGGGGCTGCCACCAGTAGATCTGACCCATAGAATAGGCATCTTTTTATCTTTACCTCCATCTCCACACCTTTAGAAGTGTTTACTCTTTGCCCAGTAGATTAGTTACTTTTCTCATTGCTGAGACAAAATACCCAACACCCAAAGTTAAAGAAGGAAAGGTTTATTTAGCTCATAGTTTGTAGTGGTTTCAGTTCCTAGTCAGCTGGTTCCAGAGCAGGGTGACTTGGGAAAAGGAAGAAGAGGAGAAACAGCTCATGGGAGGCAAAAGACAGCAAGGGAGGATAGCACATTACTGGATTTTTGTCCCTTGTTTTATCCAGGCCAGCACTCACACCCTTAATCCTATCACAGCAGCATAATCAATAGTAGTGTCACATAAGCTTGATCCAGCCACCTCTGAAAAGCCCCACCTATGATTACATGAGGCTTTGGCGGACATCTAGACATAAACCCTAATAGCTAGTTTCTGTAACTCGGAGCACTACCTTTGCATAACTTGACCAGATCTTGTTATCCTTGTTTATGTAATGTTTTTCTTCAAACCAACTCATTTTTATTCTGTTGCTAAAGTTGTTTTTTTTACAGAATACCTATGAAATCACAAGTTTGATACACTAAATAAATTTCATTTTATTTTATGTGAGAATATGAAATTTGAAAAAAGTTCACTTAACCTCCTCTGGGTAACCTCACTGATCTGCAGTTCATGCTTTCAGGGATATTGTTCCTGTTTAGCCCATCTAACAGAGGACAGCCTCTGTTCTCCTGACTTTGTACCATTTACCATGGAGCTGGGTCAACTGAGGAGAAAGCCTCCATGGCCCCTTAGCCACAGAGGCTGTCCATTGAATCTGCTGGTCCAAAGTCTCCCCACAAGAAAACCACAGACAGGCAGGGAAGTCTAGAGAGAAGGGAAACATAATTTGACCCAACAAACATTTTACAAACAATTCAGATACACCAAGTGTATCTAGGTAGACAACCAGTTACAGTCCTAGTACTGAATGTGGTATAAGAGATACACATTAAATGGCAAAGGAAGGAAGGAAGGGGCACCATTTTAGAATAAAGGAGATGACATTTGAGTAAAGTATCAAATCAATAGACAGTGGTGATGAAAGGTATCTCAGGCAATGGAAGGAGTGCGAAGAAAGACAGAGTGGCAGGTAGCTAAGGACTTTAGCAGAGCAGAGCTGGGTGGTTACTGCTGGAGACCAGGGAGTCTGAGCACAGGTGCAGATGGATGGGAAGAGAGGGCCAGGCAGTGCCACAAGAGCTTTAAGTTCCATGTTAAGCACATACAAAAGCTCTCCCATGTTCATAGCATTTAGTCCCCTACATATGCATTATAACTTTGCTTACTCTTGTCTCTGTGAGGTTAACAGCACTGATATTATTATTCTCTCCCTCTCTTTCTTTTTATAAAATAAAGAATTTAAGGAAAATAGAAATTGGGATCACATAGCTACTGACCTCACCGAGATTTCTTATTTCATCTTTTAAAAAGTGATCTTTTGGAGAAAAATAAAGAGAAGTCACCTGAGGACAGTGGGGTGACACTGCCACACTGACTTTGAGGACAGCAGGAGTTCAAGATCAGAGCCTTAATTTTCGCGTGGAGGAAGGACCAGGGATCCGAGTGTGGTGTCATAGGCACTGGCAGGAGGCTCAGGGATCCTCACGGAAATGTCCTCCCGGGTCCGCCTTCCACTTCCCGACTTAAGGCCCCGCTAGGCCAGGGCTGGGACTTGCTCTTCTCTGTTTGCCCAGTATAATGCCTAGTGCCCGGCATGTGGCAAGTTACATAAAGTCAGGTGCAGTAAAGCAAGGACGACTGGGAGGTAGAAGGAAAGGAAGCAATGCAGGAAACGATAGGGCTCTCAACATGGGTCGTTATTCACAAGATCTTTATTGGGTACTGACTAAACACTGTTGTGGTTGAATATTTTGGGGTTGTCAATCCACACTGGAAAGTGATATTTGTGCCTCCTTACTTTAGCCGAAGAGTCAACCCCTACTGGCTGCATGGACACCCATCACTTCAACACACTCAGAATCTGTTTCATCCCTTTTTAACTGGGGATGATGATAGTACTTATGCTCCAGAAATGTTATGAAGATGTGAGCTACATTTAGAACCTGCTTTCCTGGTGGATTCTAGGGCTATTCACTGACTGGATAGTGTGTGTACTCAAACTAACACCCACTGAATGTTGTTCATCATCATTATCAGTGTCATGCTGCTAACATTTCTCCAAGTCTCACAAGTAGCAGCAGAGCACTGAGCTAGTTCCAGTCTCTCCAACTGTGGGCAGAGGGATGTGTCGGCCTTCCTTGCACACCAAGACTTGTGGTTCCTCCTGCAGAGGAACTAGTCACCTGAGCGCAGGCACAGAAGAGAGTTTAGGGAGAGAAGATACCTGACAGGCATCCCAGGGAAATGACCCTCGGGATGAACTTAAAAGGTTCTGATGTTTGTCAAAGAGCTCTTGATTCAGTCGTCAGGAGGGGAAGATGTGTCTTCAGCAGGATGGGGACAGGGACAACAATAATCCTGCACTCAGCTTGAGTTGTACCCCAGCAGGTTTGGTGAGGGGTGTTTGGCAGGCAGAAGTCTCCCCAACTTCTGGTGAAAGATTTGGCAAAGAAGGCAGGAGCCTGACGGACCCCGAAGAACACGTCTCTCCGGACCATCAGCACTTCACAAAGTTGTTTCTCTAGGCTGGTGGTGGAGAACCTGTGGTACGCATGCTGTAGCAGGCACACAGAGGCCTCTTTGTCAACAAGCCAAGGCACCCCCAGCCACCAAGTACTGGATAATGGTCATTTTTTCTAAGCTGAAACTTCAGTATTCAGGTTTAGTTGCAGTGTTGGTTGGTAGTTTGCAATAAGTAAGTTGTGGGCTGCAGTTTAGGCACTCAATCTCTAAAAATTTGCATCATTGCTCTAGGCTCTCACTCCTGGCAAGAAACATCTGCCTAGGCTCTGGTCCAGGGGCAACACTAAACCTCTGGGTTTGGGAGCAGGAGCTGCGGAGGCCGGGCCTGGACACAGCCTAGGGTTTAGGTCATACATAGTTTCCAACTTCAACCCATGAGACAA